CGTTTGGGCGTATTTGCGATCAATCTTTTGGCAAAAACTTTCAGAAAAGAACTTCAATCCCCCGTGACACCCGAGCGTAACCACCATCATCACGTTTGATGAATTACATGTTGGTTTGGAGCAGGTGGTCTAGTTTTAAATTTGATCTTTATACTTCTATTTGCCAATATGTAACCAGTTGTTTGGCGCCGGTATTCTACTACACGGGAGATCTTCCCCTTGTTTGGCAGTATGGCGGTGCCGTTAATTTGCGGATGTGGTCCCCTCGCAAGACGGACAGAGAGGACGGACGCCCCTGGCGTTAATGAGTTCACTGCACAGTAACACTTAACTACCTGTCATCGCACACCATGGTAAATCATATCGTCGGAAATTATTTTGCCGAGTCCTTGTGCGGGACAGCGGTCCTGATGGCGGCGCATTTCGGGATGAAGGGATCTGTTACTGTGGTCGTACCCCGACGGGCTGAAGTTCGGTGTCGCGCCGGTCGGGCCTGCGCGATTACTCCGCTGGAGACATTAATGTCGGTTGTCTTGTGTCAGAATTACTTTGCAGCCGGAATAAATCTCAAGGAAGTGGGTTTGGTGCATAGGCTTTTATTGTAAAAACAACAGTCACTGGCTGTCCATTTTGATTTCTTTAGAGTGCTCGAAACAACTCGCGACTCGTCTACTGTCGCTATAGCGTTTCTGCACCATAAGTGCATTGAATAAATATGGCGTTGCCCATGATACTGATTTCGAAACAGAAATATTGGAATACTAATTTTTCTCGACTTGGGCTCTGTTGAAATGAAATATTTAAATGGGTTGAGGCTGAAAGTAACAGGGTCAGATTTTTCTGTCTAGCGCGCGACTGGCATGTCGGTTCTTATCAAGTGACACTGACGTGTGAATAAAATACACCGATCTTTGTTTAGCAAGTGAGCCGAATCCCTAAAATACTTGCTAATTGTTCGCGTAGTAACAATTACTCAATTAACTTTTGACAACTAAAATCTGAGTAAACACGCTTTGATCTTATACTAAGCGCAAATGAAAAAAAACTCGCACACTTTATCATTTAATTACGTGACATACTCTGATCGGCTTGCTCGGGCCTAATTTCGTCTGACCTAAGATAAATGGTCTACACGAACCAGCAGTCAATTGCACTACGCGCTTAATTGCCTTCCGGCCCACATATCGCCCACCCTATATTGCCCCTGCCGGGCACTCGTTGCGAAATAGTTTCAGCACAGGCCAAAGGTACAAATCACGATGGAGTGTTCACACTGCCAGTGTGTTGACGGAAGCAACGGAGATAAATATCTGACAGCCTCACGGAAGACATTCAAGGACCTTGTGTGTTATGTACTAATACTGAACACAACGATCCTGGTTGTAATTTGAAAGAAATGTAAATAATGCAAATTGTTATGGGCAGATAAATCTATATACGTGACATAATCGTCTTGGTCCGCATGGTAATTAATACGACTATTTCAAGAGTTTCCTCACAAAAGTCCGAAAACATCTGAAACCTACAGAATGAGTTTGGATCGATATGCATCAACCCCGCCCTTATAACATAAAATTACCACTATAAATTCGTTAATTACTAATCCTTTCACTCAATATGTTATTGTCTGCGGACCAATGAATGTGAACTTGCAAGTGCTTTAGAAAGTAGGGTAGGCCTATATGTATTAGAGAATGCTAGTTGGTTGGTGGAGTACAGTATCAGTCCTGCAGGTCAATGTACAAAGTGTTCCACTGCAAATGTGAATGTATATGAACCGACATCGATTAAAACATGCTGTTATACATGGGACAAGTACATGTAAAGCCGGTGATGGTGATTGTGAACTGAACGGGTTCGCTCCCAGCAAATGCTGAGCGATTAGGATGGCTTGTCTCTACATTGCAAAAACATCGGTTGTTACATCGGTGTTATCAGAGGACCGTGCCAACACTTTATGCCGGTGTTAATTTATTTTTGGTGTTATTTTAACACTTGTAACTCTGTTACACTGGTAGTTGTGTAAAGTGTTGAAATAACACATTTTGGTGTGGTCATCTGATAACACCACCAAGTGTTATTTTTAACACCACAGTTTTTGCATTGTATTAAGCCGTAGCCACCCATAAATAAAGTTTTAACTCTTGTACTTTTCAAGCCAAATTAGTTTCTGAGCTTGTATTAAACACGTCACAAAAATTCAGCAAGATTTAGGCTGTTAAAAGAGGTCTAATAACATGAATTATTTTAGAGCGAGTCGGTTCCCTCTTTCCCCCGTGAAATGTTGCATAAAAATATTTTTTATCCTAAAATATCAACAAAGACTACAACATTTTGCGTAATTGAAAATGGAAACCAAACAACTACCGGCAACACACGAATTACTCCCCTAGCTGCCCAGGGGGAAATTTAGTGCCATTTTTTCTGTCTGACTGAACGAGATGTTAGTCTTCCGAACGGATCAGCCCACGCCAGAACTGCAGAAAGATACCACGATTTCTAAATTAAAGGGTTTTTTGATGATCTGAATTGTCGACGCTTTTCAAAACAGTTGAAGATGTGTGCCAGATACTAACCAAAACCAATTCGGTTATTATCCACAGGGAGGTCGGATGATTTGTATGATTTTATTTTGTGAAGTGGATGTATAGGTTGGGGCTCATTAACCCGGACAGAATTTTAACCCAGATAAGTCTATTCATTTAAATGCTGACTAGAGTTAATTCAGTACGTCTGGGAGTAACTGACACCTGATAGCAACCCCTCACTTCTTGCACCCTTTTAAAGCATTCATTAGGCCGATAGTCCCTGGCAAATGGGTCAAGTTGTTGACTACCTGTCCGTGGTGAATACGATTCAAGAATTCCGACCATGTCTTATAAACTGGGGAAGTGACACCAGATTGCAGAAAAAAAAAACAAGCTTGGGGCTTCGCTTTGCGGTTGATTTGTGAAATCCAGGCGCACAGGTAACTGACGCGTTTCCTACGCGGCAGGATACCGCAAAACGTAGATAAATCTCTCTTCGACCATCGATGCACCCTCCTCACTGCTGAGAAATTGGGAGCATTTCTTCCGATTTGTTTGATGGATCTGCTCACAATCACCATTGGCGTGCCGACCTATGCGAGCTATCTCGCTTGAATAATTGAAAAATGCCGTAGTTTAGGGAAAATTTATACATTTGTTTTCCGAAAATACTGTAAAGCGAGAGGGTAATTTGCTCCTGTTAGGATTGTTTTGGCGCCGGAGGAAATGTTTCCCCGAGCCTTAATGTTGTAAATTCTCGACCAAGTCTGACAAAGTCAGTCTGTTTGGAAGAAATCAACCACGTTTCACACATACCGATGTTTTAAAATAAACTTTATAAAGTGAACTTCAGAATACTTTGACGAGCTCTCGGCAACACTCTCTGAGTTCGTCATACAAACTCAGTTACGTGTATACTGAGAGATGCAGGTTGGTGTAGTGGATCGTTCCTCGCCTTCCACCCACTACGACCCGCATTCGAATCCTACCCAGGTCAGCACGTGAATTGGGCTTTCATTCCCTGCCTGATTCAGTGGGTTTTCTCCTGGAATATTTCTTAATACGGGCGATTCACAATAGTACGCCATCAAGAGTTTGCAACGCGTTGGCCAATCGAAGTACGCGAAATCTGTCGACCTGGGCCGTTTTCCAATACTCAACTTCGGCTCCGTCTCAAGCTTCAACTGTTTTTTAACTAGCTGACGTTGAAGCTGTAAGTGCAGCAATTAGTTTAATAGTGCCACAAAACATCAAATAAGATGCAAGAGAGCCAGAAATTACAGTAATCCAATTTAATTTAAACGCTTCAGGCCCACAATCGGTGATCGGTTTTGGGAACGAAGCCTGAGACGGAGCCCAAGTCGAGTATTGGAAAAGGGCCCCGATGCGTTCGGAAAGGGTCGACAAATTTCGCACGTTTTGATTGGCCAACGCGTTGCAGACTCTTGGGGGCGCATTATTGTGAATCGACCGTATTGTCACTTCATCCTGTAATTGGCGCTAAATGCGCTGTTGGATGAACAAATATGAGTACAATAAAGCATTACAGTGCGTGCGCTTGCGCCCTACAGGTTCGTTTTTGCTTTCTGAAAAAGGAACTATACACATTCATCTGAAAATACTATAGTTCAAATATAGCAGTTCACCCCAGTCCCCTGTGGCGCAACGGGGGGGGGCTGACCATCATGGGCTGGGGTGGGGATAACTCTGGCCTGAACCCCCTTCTCTCACGACAAATCCTGGGTGTATCACTGAGTACGTGGATGTCTGTACGTACCGATATGCATTTACAGAAATCAGAAAAGCCAGTCTGAGTATCAAGGAATGAACTGACAACCCGACGAACTAATCCACGCGGCATGCTGCATTAAAAGGTGGGGAAAATCACTGCACAGCGGTGACGACGGGGGGGGGGGATTTTCAGACGAAACAAACGGTGCTGAAACAGCAAAGTGGCCACGATGAGAAACAGCAGAATTAACTGAACGTCGCCAAGAGGCGATGTACCTTGGAGACGGTCAGAAACCGAAACGTCGATTAAATAACCTCAGTTCTCTTCAATTCTATCTTGTACTTGTATTGAAGAGCGTGCCACAGGATGTATCAACCGGACTACCCAGTTGTGTTTTCGTCACCAGGCGAGAACATAAATTGCATTTAATTTTCACTTCCAACCTTTGGAAAACCGATGGCGCGTTTTTCTCAATTACTGGATCCCGCCATTTGAATACATGAGTAAACATTTCAAGAGCTATGCAGTCACGTGACATAGCTGCATGACACCACTTTCGTGCTTTTAACGGGAGGGAACTATTTACCAATGATTGCTGTTGTCATGAAAACCATGCAGTATAATGAGGTGTGGCTGTGATGACGCCATTCACCCACGTGACCCATCACATATACTCGGCTAGAGAAAGACGTCACTGCATCTCACCTGTGAATGCTTGGTGGGGTTAGCGCATCTGTACAATTAATCCTGGGTGGTAGGGAAGCAAACAAGAAATCTCTGCGCACACTGAAACCTTGTACTTCATTGTGTGACTGGTTATATAGTCTGATACATCCTATCAGAGAGTGCTAACGGTCGACCAATCACAGGTCTGCATTGTGGTTCTCTCTGTTGGCTGGCTATACGGAAAGCCACCAGCAGATATAATAAAGCTTCAAGCCGGCAGCGTGCACCAAAGCATCGCAGTCACTGGGAACTCTATATGTGGGCATTACTTGTCAGTATCCTCATGATTTTCCAGAGATGAGATCTCATCTTTAAACTGCGGCATATGTTTCTTTGCAGTTGTGTGGGTGGAAACCATTTGATACGAGAGTGGGGCTGAGATAGCAGGTGAGCCTTCATCACGCGACTTTAGACGTTGATAACTACTCGCAGTTTGGGCACAGAGCGGGGGGAATCGCTGCGATATCTACGGGGCAGGGAGGCTGCCGGCACCGCATCACAACCATGACGGCTTTACGCTACCACCGGGGTTTACTGGTTACACTTTTCCTGACAGTCACATGGGCGTCCGGGCTTGCAGACCTGACAGACATAGTGGAGAATGCTGAAGTAGCTAAAGAAGTTTCCAACGAGTTAGGTAAGTTACACGCTAAAAACACATTGGTTAAAAAGACTGTGGTTGACCCCTATTGGTTATTTTGACCAATGAATTGGCCAAGTTGTAACCAGTGCGTTGGTTATTCTTCAACTAATCACATTGGTTCAGTATTCTACCAAGAAATCAACCAATATATTAGTCATATGCGCGTTCTCCTTCATATTCGTTTGGTTGAACCCCAAACTAATCTGTTGATCGTTCTGGTTACTGGTTAGTGACAAATTGGAAGGGCTGCCAACGTACGGCTGGATAGCACAGTTGGTAGAGTACCAGTATAAGGTACTCCGGAGGTCGCAGGTTGAAATCCCGCTCCGGTCAATTTCTTGTTCATTTTTATAATTAATATGTAAGCACCTACTCAGTTTTCCCTTAAAGTTTGTTTGATTATTTGTGTTGAAAAAACCCGGATCCTCCTGAGAAATTCCTGTTCACCACATCCCATGTTGCATCGTGTATTTGAGATGTGATCCCTGGTTATGTGGTGTTTCAGGTTTTATGGCTTCCAACTAGAGCCCTTGAATAAAAATATGACAAATGGGAAGGGCCACCAACGTAGGGCTGGATAGCTTAGTTGGTAGAGCGCCGGTACTGTGTTTCGGAGGTCGCAGGTTCAAATACGGCTGCAGTCAGTTTCTTTGTTCAGGTTTCATAACTAACATATTGGTCAGCTAGAACTAGCGAGCTGGTCGTCCTTTCAGCTTTCAGCCGAGAAATCAAACTTTTGGTCATATTGTAGCCATTGAATTGGTCATTGTAACGAGCATTATAATTATTTTGACCAATGACAATGGTTATTTTACCACCATTTGTATTGGTTATTTTCTTACCGTTTTAATTGGTCATATAATAACAACCAATGAATTGGTAAGTTTAACCAATGTATATGTAATTGATTGTACTGTAACAACAACTTTGGTTGTGGACTACCATTATGGACTGGTAAAATTAAGATTTAAGATTTGGTTAATTTAACAAATATTTTGGTTGGACACATATCCACCAACCAGACTGGTTTTAAGATTGTAGCAAGAAGCGTTTGTAAGACGTAATTGAGGATCCTGCAGATGACTTTGCTGTGTGCATGTCGTTCTGATAATGACGTGAAAAGGTAGTGCGTTCATTGCTCGCAAAAGTGGCAGTTGTTATCCAGAAAATACCTGATTCGGCAAATAAGTTAATCTTTTGGTAACTTTGGTAACGCTAACGTGCACTGGCGTCCCTTGTGCAGTCAAATGAATTATTCCTTGACTGGCATTTTGTCTCCTCATGCTAAACAAAAAAACACAACTCCCAGTTGATATGGCCTTTTAAAGTTTCAGACTTACGTTTAGCATTTTACAGTACTTATTATTCGCCCATCCATATTTATGAAATCAAAGTTTCTCATGTTTTTGGTAACAGTCATTTAAAGCCTGATTTCATGCATGGTATTCACCATTAAATTTTATTCCTTAGAGACATTGTTGCTAGGTTGTTTTTCCATTCAGTGGGAGTAAATATCTATGAAAAAATAAAGATCTATCCCATGCTATGTTTTCGTAAGGCCCCATAATGCATGTTGTTTTCTGTCAAACGTTTTAAGTCACTTTTGCATTTGGCAAAACGCAAAAGGCTTGTATCTCTTTGCTTTTCTCAGGAGAAATAAAACGATGTTAGGTAAAGTTGGAAAACTGCCTTTGTCCGTTGTTGACTGTAGCACAACTAGAAGCGTTGAAATACTATTTTTAATCAAATTTAAATATTTTACGTAATACATATACGTAATACAGCACGTAATGTACTGTGTTGCATGCCAAACCTTTATACACAATATTCAAACTTGCCAGTCGGAAACTTATAAAAACACACCTATTATATTAATGTACCCCTCTTTAAGTGTTTGTTACAGATTTCAAATATGCATATTTCCGTTTTGGGCTTTGCCATCCAACCAGTACTCAATCATTAGCTAGACTTATCCCCAATCATTTCATGTGTGCTGTCAAACAGGAAACATGAACACCGCCAAACTGTGGGGCTTAAACTGGTATTCAATTAACACCACAGGTAAATATCTGAACTGACGAAATAGGCATTTTTAGCTGCTTACATATACAGGCTAAGTGAACTAATAAAAACTGTAACATTACGCTAGTTCTAAGATATATACATGTGTACTGTAAAGGTTGATTAAAGGTTAGCAGGAGCAAAAGTTGCACATTGAACTGTTGAAAAGCGCCAATGTTGTGCAAAATATGTTGAGGAAAACCGCAAAATCCCTTCAGATATTAATTACGAAATCACCCCCAAATTAGTGATAGTCTAAGTGATTTTAATACAATTCTTTTGACTCAAGAGTTTTTTCTGACACTCATATGAAACTAGTTATTTCCTGTATATTTTATTTTTAAAGAACTTTTTTTGTAGAAAAGCACTTATTGCTTTGTTAATTCTTTACAACATAAAAATTGTTTCCCCTTTTATAATGGAAATGAAGCATAAAGCAGAAGTTAAAATTGACAGGTCTTCCCCAAACAAAGGGCGCCCAAATCTTGAGTAGTGTTTAAATTTTTTTTTACTTGCAAATGTCCCCACAATGGTAAAAAATTCCAGAATAACGCAAAAATAACTCCACTATACCCCACCTTCCTCATCAGACCGTGGGGTAGGTGATATGACTCCCGAGACGGGACGCTATGTCTAAGAGATTACCAAGCATTGAGACATAGCATAGAATGTAATGGGTTCATAACTCAATCCTAATGACCACAATTCCCTATTATCCAAACCTATCTCAGCGAGTAATCTCATCTCTGGATTCTTTAGTACTCAGGACCGATGCTGCAGTCTGCGTCCTGTGACCTTTCTCTGTCCCAGAGAGAAACATGCCACCACAATTAAAGCCTCATCGAGGAGGACGCTTGACTTGCCCAAGGGCTTGTTAACGTGCCAAAGCCTACCCATCACGCCTTCGCCCTTTTACCCACAAGGGAGTTCTGGCAGAGAATTTTGGAATGGATGATTCGCATTGAACGATTATAGCGGCTCCACATCAGTGTTACGTTCAGGCAATATTAAGCAATATGATAGTCCCCAGTTTGCCCGCGTTATTTGTCTCATTTGATAGAATTGTTTCACCATAGGTTTCACCCACAGGACAGGAGCTAGGATTGCCTAAGTTTAACGCTGAGGAATGCAAACCTCACAATTTTTTTGGGGGGGGGGCAGGACTGTGGTATTAAACTACTGCACATAATTATCACTGTATGAGAGAGTGCAATTACATGTATCTTTCGTCTAACTGTGGGCTATAGTATTTACGACTTGTATGGGAAGTCACAACTTGATAACCCGCCCGCAAACTACCTGTAAACAGACAAATGTCCAATCCAGATATCAGTTTTCGATTCGGCTGAACATGAAAGGAAGAAGGGAGCGCACATATAGGAATGGCCGGCGGTGCGGAGATTTCCGAAAATAAGATTATATTTCGATGTAGTCATCAGAAACAAAATTAGCTTATAAAAGCTAATTTTGCTCAAAATTAGCTTATAAAAGCTAATTTTTGTGATGGAAATAGTGTGCTGCTAGTTTTTGGATTATTTCATTTGTCTAATCATCCTCTTCCTAACTTTATTTTCTCCAAAAGATCAACCTTTTAATTACTGACATATTCACGGTACCTCCGTGGACTTCAGATACAAAACGTTGTTTTCTGCAGTTAAATTGTTGGAGATTTGCAAAAATTTGACAGCAGAAAGCAATTTGTGTATATTTGTTATACTTTTGAAAGGAATTTTCCGAGATTGGATGATTAATCAGTCTTGTATTGGGGAAGGTTTGAATTTACCCATTACTCTGAACTGTAGGGGCACCTGTGAGGCATTACCCTGTCTGACATGGAGATTGAAGCGTATCGGACAGCAGTAGCGAGACTGACACCTATTGAGCGCGTAGCAATCACACTTGCCTTCTCCTCTCACAATGGGCCTGTTTGGCACCAACGGCCGTGGGTGACGTGGCCCGTACAGATCAGACCGTAAGCCACAGCTGCGCGACCGATGAATCCACCCCAGTTGGTTTTCTCACTTCGAAATTGAAAGTGGCATAAACAGCTGAACAAGGTAAAACCGTTGATTAGATGTGCACACAAGGAACTCGCATTTCGTGGGATAGTTCCCGACTAAAGCCTATCGTAAAGGCTATCGTGTTTACGAGCGCTTTCCTGATTGGCCCCTGGTGATACCGAAAAGAACGTGTAGTCATTGTTGCTCGTGGAATGAGTTTCAGCCAATGCGGAAAAGCCGTAGGGAGCGCTCGGAAACGATGCAGGAAATTCTACACGCCAAAATTGCAAGATTGAAATGCAATCCAAGGGAAAATGGCATTTATTTCTGTATTACCTGGGCATCAAACTATCTTTGGATCATCAAATCACCTGACTCAAAGGCAATGCCCACGATATTCGAAATGATGCCAAATCTCGAAAACATTTGAAGAAACGTGTTCCCAGTTATTAAGTGTCGGTGCAAGGCGGGGGACAGGCCATGCCTCCCTACAAAACTGAGCCAAAAACTTTAATTTTTTTAGAAATTAAAGAAAAAGAGAAGAGTTATTGTTTTGCTCCATTACATTTCTCTTTGTTCTCAAAGCGAGTAAGACACCCCCAAAATTATAGCCTTACCTCACAAAGAGGCCATAAAACGTTACATGAAAAAAAGTCACAATTTTTAGCGCCCCCGAACATGTAACTCCCCCCCCCCGATTATTGATTCTAGATCTGCTCTTGTCTCGGTGAATGACTTTTCACATTGGCTTTTCACGTTGTGACGCACAAATGAAAACACGGGCGGTAAGATTCGTATTAAGACGGTGGCCTCGCAATAGGGACCAAGGCTTTATTCCTTATTCCACTTCTTAATCTAGGTCTAGTCACTCATATTATTCAGTAAACGGGTTTTTTTGTGATAGATGTGCTTAATGAACATCCCAAGTGCCAC